CTGGGGATTCGAACCTGCCACCTTAGGTGTACATGGCTGGCGCCTTAGCCAGTTGAGCTATAGGCGCCGAGCCTGCTTTCCCATTCTTATGATACTTTACTAAGAAGAATATGTTTCAGAGCCATCCAGGTTAATACAAAAGATGTAAGGTCTCCATCTTTTCTTACCCCTGAATAGTACTCCATTGTATACGTAGACCACAGCTTGTTTTCTTTGTTGTTGCTTCTTTGTTTGTTTTGAGACAGAGCCTCAAGGTGTCGCCCTGGGTAGAGTGCCATGGCATCTCAGCTCACAACAACCTCCAGCTCTTGGGCTTAAGCAATTCTCTTGCCTCAGCCTCCCAAGTAGCTGGGACTGCAGGTGCCCACTGCACCGCCTGGCTGTTTTTTTGGCTGTAGTTGTCATTGTTGTTTGTCAGTCCCAGGCTGGATTCTAACCCGCCAGCTCTGGTATATGTGGCTGGCACCTTAGCTACAGGCACCAAGCCATACCATAGCTTGTTCATCTATTCCTGAGTTGATGGGCATTTAGGTTGTTTCCACATCTTGGTGATTGTAAATTGAACTGTGATAAACTGTAGTAGGGGTTTGGATTTTACTTTAGTCATGATGGGATGCCATTGGAGGGTTTTAAGCAGCAGAGCGATGCTATCTGATTTGACTGCAGGAAGCTCACTCAGACTGCTGTGTGAAAGATATGCTTTGGAGGGACAAAAAGCAGGGAGAAAAGGACCCCAGATGGGAGGTTGGTCCTGAGGCATAGGAGGTGATGGCTTCCTGTAGTAGAGTGGTAATAAGGGAAGTGGTGAGAAGTGCTTGCATTCACATATGTTTTGGAAGAACTGTCAGGATTAGCTGGTGGATTGCATGTAGGATGTATAGGACTGAAACGTGTTACAGGTTTGGGAGTAGATAGTCGTGTTGTTCACTTATTGCAAAAGGTTGGAGGAATCAGAGTGGGTTTTGGTCAGAGGAGGAGGATCAAGGACTGTGGTGATCAGGTTACCTGTGAGGTGCCTGATGTCAAGTATCAGTTGGGCATAGGAGAGTAGAGCACAGGGGTAAGGTCTAGCCTGGCAAAGGAAATTCAGTAGTGTAGGAATGGTATGTAAAGCAGCAGTACTCCCTGGAGAGGGCATGAAGGCCTGGGTTACTCCACATACACAGGTGCTGGTGAGAAGGAAAGCAAAAGGCATTGGCAGAGGAGACCAAGCAGGAGTTTCCAGTGAGTTGGGAGGCAAACTGAGCGAGCATGAGGCCACCAAATGTAAAGAAGACAGTATTTCCAGGAAGAAAGAAGCATTGCAAAAATGTTGCTGAGAGATTGGGCAAGGTGGAGAAAGGTAATTGGCTCTTGAGTTTGGCAAGATCTAAGTTGCCTAAAAGCTATTTTAGTGGAGTGAGGGGAGAATAGGAGGTATGAAGGTAGGAGAGAAAATGTGCTTCACTAAGGGGGGCAGTCGAGAAATGGGGCCGTGTCTGGAAGGAAAAGTGGAGCTAAGAGAGGGTGGTTGGTGAGGCTGGTTTGTTTGCCAAGGGAAGTGTCCCAGGAGAGAAACGGCGATTACAGATGATTGGGAAGGCAAGAGGATGTGCAGCATCCCATGCTCAGGTGGAGGGCAGCCTGTGATAAGAGCAGGACACATCTGTGTCAGGACATGAGGCGGGCAGGGTGTGTAAACACAGATGCAGCTGACTGGTGGAGTTAGTGGTGAGGACAGGTGAAGCAGTGTCCTCTACTTACACATATTTCCTCAATTTAGTGAGAGTTGAGATGGGAAAGAATTGAAGATGTGACAAGGATATCAGACTCTTGCAATAGAGGACAATGGTGAAATAGTTATCTTTTTTTTTTTTTGAGACAGAGCCTCAAGCTATCCCCCTGGGTAGAGTGCCATGGCATCACAGCTCACAGCAACCTCCAACTCCTGGGCTCAAGCGAGTCTCCTGCCTCCGCCTCCCAAGTAGATGGGACCACAGGTGCCCACCACAGTGCCCTGCTATTTTTTGGTTGCAGCCATCGTTGCTTGGCGGGCCCAGGCTGGATTCGAACCCGCCACCTTAGGTGTATGTGGCTGGCGCCTTAGCCACTTGAGCCACAGGCGCTGAGCCTGAAATAGTTATCTTAGAAAGGAGTAAAATTAATGCATGGAAAGGCCATGTTCATTGTTTGCCTGAAATTTTCAGTGAGTCTAGATGGCAGACCACGAGGAATTTTTTCCTCTACTGACTCCCAGTTTCTTAGGCATAGGTGTGAAGTCCTGTAGAGGAAAGGAGAGACAGCTTTAGGGAAAAGAATTGGCAAAGGAGGAGATGTTGTGCTAGACCACAGACTCTCAGCAGGGCGGAGAGGAAGGTCAGGGAAGAGCACGTGTTGTATGCTGAGATAGACAAATCCAAAACTGATTTTACTATATACTCACAACACTTCTTGCACCAAATATGTAGGTTTTACACACTAAACAATTCTCTAGTTTTTTGTAGACACTGGTTATCCTACAATAAAATTCTGATACTAACTACCCAGAGTTAGAACAGACCCCCCAGGTTAATGGCCCAGTCCTATAAGACCGCTCCCCACTTAGATGCCAAAAACAAGCCTCAGGTTCTCACCTGACTTCTGAACAACCGTCTATAAATTAGGGGTTCTCATAACGTCCTGCTCAGGTTTGATGGTTTCTATAAAGGCTCAGAGAATTCCAGGTAAGATTTACTTACATTTACTGGGTTATTATAAAGGACATTACAAAAGATAGAAATGAACAGCCAGAAGAAGAGGTACATAAGGATAAGGAGGCCATGTGCAGTGACTCACTCTGGGAGGCCGAGGTGGGAGGATCCCTTGAAACCAGGAGTTCAAGACCAGCCTGAGCAAGAGGGCCCGTCTCTACTGAAAAAGAAAAATAAGCTGGGCATGGTGGCGGGCGCCGGTTGTCCTAGCTAGTTGGGAGGCTGAGGCAAGAGAATCGCCTAAGCCCAAGAGTTGGAGGTTGCTATGAGCTGTGATGCCATGGCATTCTGCGAAGGGTGACAAAGTAAGGCTCTGTCTCTGGAAAAAAAAAAAAAAAGAAAAACTAGCCAGGCGTAGTGGTAGGCGCCTATAGTCCCAGCTACTTGGGAGGCTGAGGCAAGAGAATCACCTAAGCCCAAGAACTGGAGGTTGCTGTGAGCTGTGACGTCACGGCACTCCACTGAGGGTGACAAAGTGAGACTGTCTATAAAAAAAGAAAAAAAGAGGATAACTTGAGCCCAGGAGTTTGAGGTTGCTGTGAGTCAGCTTGAAGCCATAGCATTCTAGAGCCTGGGCACCAGGATAAGATTCCATCACACACACAAAAAAAGGCACATAAGGTGGGGCATGTTGGGAGGGGCACAGGATTTCCATGCCATCCCTAAGGTTTGCCGTACTCCCAGCCCCTCCATTTCTTCGCCAGCCTGGATGCTCTCAGAACCCTGTAGTTCCATGACTGTTACGGAGGCTTCATTATACAGTGTGATTGGTTATTAATTCAACCCAGGACTCTATCGTCCTCCTTCCCAGGAGTATGAAGATGGCAAGGCTGGAAGTCCCAAGCTTCTCACCACAGCTTGGTCTTTCTAGTGACCAGCTCCCATTCTGAAGCTATCCAGGAGCCCGGCAAAAGTTATATTGTTAGGGAAAAAACCACTCCTGTCACCCAGGAAACACCAAAGAGGTTTTAGAAGCTCTGTGACAGGAACTGGCGACAAAGACCAAATATATATATACATATATATATATATATATGTATGTATGTATGTATTTTTTTCTTTTCTTTCTTTTTTTTTTTTTTTCGAGACAGAGTCTCACTCTGTCCTTCTGGGTAGAGTGCTGTATTATCTTAGCTCTCAGCAACCTCAAATTCTTGGGCTCAAGCAATCCTCTTGTCTTAGCCTCCTGAGTAGCTAGGACAATAGGCTCCCACCATAACACCTGGCTAATTTTTCTATTTTTGGTAGAGATAGGGTCTTGCTCTTTCTTAGGCTGTCTCAAACTCCTGAGCTCAAGCAATCCACATGCCTTGGCCTCCCAGAGAGCTGGGATTATGGGTGTGAGCCACCAGCCCTGGTCAAATATATATTTCTTATGTCACAAGACTCCAGGACCTATTGCTTCCTCCTCTTTTTGCAAAACAGTGAGTTTCCTTGTTAGCGCTGTTCTCTAGATGTATGGTACCTAGCGTCCCCCCACCCCGCCACCCTCACCATGGCCTGTTGGAAAGCAGGGAGACAAAAGGCAAGGCAAGCCACACAGCTGGGTTGGTGGAAACTTCATCTGTGTTTACAGCAGAGCACCATTGCTCTCGTCACCACCTGAGCTCTGCCTCCTGTCATGTTAGCAGCAGCATTAGATTCTTAAAGGAGGCTCGGCGCCTATAGCTCAACCGGCTAAGGCGCCAGCCACGTACACCTAAGGTGGCGGGTTTGAATCCCCAGCCCGGACCCGCCAAACAACAATGACGGCTGCAACCAAAAAATAGCCGGGCGTTGTGGCGGGCGCCTGTGGTCCCAGCTACTTGGGAGGCGGAGGCAGGAGACTCGCTTGAGCCCAGGAGTTGGAGGTTGCTGTGAGCTGTAATGCCACGGCACTCTACCCAGGGGGACAGCTTGAGGCTCTGTCTCAAAAAAAAAAAAAAAAAAAAAAAATAGATTCTTAAAGGAGCCCAAACCCTACAACTGCACATGTTTCCTGCTTCTCATGAGAATCTAATGCCTCATCTGAGATAAATGTAATTCATGCATTTGAATCATCCCAAAACCATCTCCCCCACCCCCAAGTCTGTAGAAAAATCGTCCTCCATGAAATTGGTACCTGGTGCCAAAAAGGTGGGGACCACTGCTCTAGATGTTATAATCATTGAATTTGGGGGGGGGAGGGGTTGCCAAAACTACGTATAAGTTGTAGCCATCTCTCAGAGGCCTGCTTGAAACACCTTTGCAGGTAAGAGCAGCCAAAATAAATGCAGCCTGCTTTGTGCTTAGGTGCCTGAAAGAAGACCCTGCTACCATGTCCCTGCTACAGAGAAGCCTTGATCCTGAGAAGACGCTGGGTTTAGTGGACGTGCTCTATACTGCTGTGCTGGACCTAAACCGCTGGAGAGCAGGGAGGTTGGTGTCGGCACCAGTCACTTGAATTGGCTTTGTGAATGGTTGCACTTAGGGCCATACCCAGGGACCTTGTGACCACATACAGTTTTGTGTATGCTCATGTCACTGATGGTATGTAGGTAAATAAATCAATATAGAGAATTTTCTGTAACTTTATTTTAGAACAATTTCAAACCTGCAGAAAAGTTGCAAGAATATGGTTATAAATAGTTGCTATATGCCTTTACTCCAGATTCCCCAATTTTTTTAAGCATTTTTACTTTGTTTTGTCATTTGAAAGGAAATCCACCAAAAAGACTTGTAACCCAACTCACATTCTCCTTATGAACTGAAAGCAGAGAAATGTTAAGAAAATTTCCTTACATCCCTTATGGAATTTACTTATATCTAAAAGTAGCTGACAGTTAGAAGATTATCTCTTTGTGAATCATTAACTTTAGAATGGGAGGGACCTTAAATATCCAGCCATGCATGCTTCCTCTCTCTTTCTGAACCCATGAGCACAGATAGGCCACAATACTGAAGTGACTTCTGTGGGGTCACGCCAGCTGTCATCTGCCTCACCTTCTGCCCCATGCCTTTTCTGTCTGTAGGGCTGTCTTTCAGTGTAGGAAACAAGTGCTCAGAACACCTTGGAAGTAATAGCCATGCCAGCCATAGTGGCCTTGAGTCCTCTTCACCACTCCCCCTGGTTTATGCATTTGTCCATTGCCCCTCTGTTGGATCTGCTTGGCTCTCTGTCACTTTTTCTATTTTTTTTTTTTAATTGAGACAGAGTCTCATTATGTCACCCTTGGTAGAATGCCACAGTGCCATGACATCACAGTTCACAGCAACAACTCTTGCCTCAGCCTCCCAAGTAGCTGGGACAACAGGCGCCTGCCACAATGCCCCGCTATTTTTTGTTGCAGTTGTCATTGTTGTTTTAGCAGGCCTGGGCTGTGCTCAAACCTGCCAGCCTCAGTGTATGTGGCCAGTGCCCTACTCACTGAGCTAAAGGTGCTGAGTCTCTGTCACTTTTTTTTTTTTTAAGAGACAAAGTCTTTATCACCCTTGGTAGAGTGCTGTAGAGTCACAGCTCACAGCAACCTCCAGCTCCTGGGTGTAAGTGATTCTCTTGCCTCCACCTCACAAGTAGCTGGGACTATAGGCACCCGCCACAATGCCCAGCTATGTTTTGCTTGCGGTTGTCATTGCTGTTTGGCAGGCCGGAGGATTTGAACCTGCTAGCTCTGGTGTATGTGGCTGGCGCCCTAACCACTTGAGCTACAGGTGCTGAGCCTCAGTCACTTTTTCTTAGGCGCAAAGATAAACTTTGCCAGTTGCACCCCCGCCCCCAGCTATGCATTGGTCTTCTGTGCTAAAGTTAGAGGGTTTCACTCAGTCAGACTCCTCAGAATTATAACATTAATTGTAGTGTTACAGTTTTTGCAGATTTACATTAGATACTATAAATTATATGTTCTCAAAACCCTTGAGTATTTATTTATCTATAAAATAATAAGTGACCCTGAGGACACCTGTGGCTCAGTGAGTAGGCCATGGGCCCCATATACCGAGGGTGATGGATTCAAACCCAACCAGCCAAACTGCAACAGAAATAGCGGGTGTTGTGGCGGGCACCTATAGTCCCAGCTACTTGGGAGACTGAGGCAAGAGAATTGCCTGAGCCCAAGAGCTGGAGGTTGCTGTGAGCTGTGATGCCACAACACTCTACTAAAGGGAACAAAGTGAGACTCTGTCTCTAAAAAAAAAAAAGAAAAAGAAGTGAACCTGATACCAACCAGGGAGGTTCTTGTTTTCAGAGTCTTTCTTAAATATAAAGATGTCTATTTTATTTTCCCATTTTTATATTTGTCTTTTTTTTTAATAAATTTTTATTTAAATAGGGAACAAGCTTTACCCTGCATACAGATCCAGCTTCAGAGGGAAATCTGTGATTTTGGGAATCAGACTGACCTGCCTTCTGGAAATGGAAACAAATATTCAGGTGGCCTGCAGAAGACGTTTTCCAAACTGACCTCTCGGTTCACCAAGAAAGCTTCGTGTACCAGCTCTAACAGCAGCACTAATTACACCATCCAAAATACCCCTTCCAAAAACATCTTCATAGCTGGGTGTTCAGAAGAGAAGGCCAAAATGCCCAATAATATTGATACAAGGTTACAAAACATTTTGAACATTGGCAATTTCCCCAGGACTACAGACCCTTCCCAGTCAGCTCAGAATTCCAGTCATCCTATGGCCAATGGTTTTCTTGTGGAGAGACGTGAGAACTTCCTGCCTGGGGACGATGGCAAGGATGAGAAGGGTATGAATTTACCAACTGATCAGGAAATGCAAGAGGTAATAGATTTTCTCTCAGGCTTTAACATGGGCCAGTCACATCAGGGCTCTCCATTGGTGACAAGGCGTAATTCTGCTGCCACAGCCATGGTGACTGAGCAGAAGGCAGGAGCCATGCAACCACAGCAGCCATCACTGTCCGTGCCCCCTCCAACACGGCCACCCCAGCCTGGGGCACACACACCGCTAACACCCCAGCCGGGACTGACACCTCAGCAGCAGTCCCCAAAGCAACCACAGCCCCAGGTCCAGTACTACCAACACCTACTCCAACCCATTGGATCGCAGCAGTCCCTGCCCCAGCCTCGGGCACCTGGGAAATGGGTACATGGCTCATCCCAGCAGCCAGCACAGACTGTTGGAACAGGTCTGTCTCCTCTTGCTCAGTGGCCTGGCATACCTGATCTCAGTTCCGACTTGTACAGCTTGGGTCTGGTGAGCAGCTATATGGATAATGTGATGTCAGAGGTTTTGGGACAGAAGCCACAGGGACCTAGAAATAATACCTGGCCAAACCGTGACCAAAGTGATGGAGTCTTTGGAATGTTGGGAGAGATTCTGCCTTTTGATCCTGCAGGTATGCGAAGCATTCTCATCCTTTACCCATTTGAACATAAAATTTAATTGCTCAGGACTTTGTAGGGCCTGTCTGCCATGGCCTTCCTTGTGAAGGTTGAATAACTGAATACCTCTGTAGGACCCTTTCTCACTGTGAAGACAAGTATGGGTATCTATGGAGAAAGTTAGGGAGAAAAATGACAAGTATGGGGCAGAATATTAGCAAGAGTGGGAAATAGTGGTCAGAAACTGGCAGAAAGGTAAGTGGAACTATTTTTCTCATTGTATAGAGAATAGGATTGAGGCTCAGAGATGTTTCTGGAATGGATCAAAGTCCTATAGTTAAAACAGGCTCCAGTCTGGCCATCCAGTTCTTGGGAGCTAACATGTGCAGCCCTTTATGGGCCACTTTTCCCTGACTACATAGCCTGAAAGTTCTGGTTCTTTTTTTTTTTTTTT